GTTTATGGAGGCCAGGTGATAATGGAGTTTTGGCTAATGTCTGGCTAATGGTAAGTCCAGTGGGTCCCCGAACTCATTCTGTGGTTATTTTCCAAGTTCCACAATATATAATTGGGGTAGATATGCTTAGAAGTTGGCAGGGTTCTCACATTGATTCCCTCTATGGAGTGAGAGCTATTATGGTTGGGAAGGGTAAATGGAAGTCTTTAGAATTGCCTCTGCCAGGGAAAATAGTGAATCAAAAACAGTACCACATTCCAGAATTGCAGAAATTAGTGCTACCACCAAGGACTTGAAAGACACAGGGGTTGTGGTTCCCACCACATCTCCATTTAATGCTCTTATCTGGCCAGTGCAGAAGACAGATGGATCATGGAGAATGACAGTTGACTAACGAAAATTCAATCAAGTAGTGACTCTGTATTGAAGCTGCTGTACCAGATGTAGAGGTACATAGTATGCACCTACTGATTTAGCAAATGCCTTTTTCTCTGTACCTGTCCATAAGGACCACCAGAAGCAATTAGCTTTCAATTGGCAAGGCCAGCAGTATATCTTTACTGTTTTACCTCAGGGATATATTAACTCTCCTATTCTGTATCATAACTTAGAAGGAATCTTGATCATCTGTCTCTTCCACAAAATATTACACTGGTGCATTATATTGACAGCATTATGATGATCAGACCAAGTGAGCACGAGGTAACAACCACTTTGAACTCATTGGTAACATATGCGTGTCAGAGGATGGGAAATAAATCCAGCCAAAATTCAAGGACCGTCTGTCCACCTTGGTGAAATTCTTAGGAATCTAGTGGTGTGGGGCATGCAGAGATACTCCTTCTAATGTGAAAGCTAAGTTATTGCACTTGGCCCCTCCCACCACCAAGAAAGAAACACAACGTTTAGTGGGTCGATTTGATTCTGGAGACAGCGCATTCCTCACTTGGGTGTTACTCTGGTCCATACAAAGTGACTGGGAAAGCTTCTAGCTTTGTGTGGGGCCTGGAGCAGGAGGAGGCTCTTCAACAGGTCCAGGCTGCTCTGCTGGCTGCTCTACCACTTGGACCATCTGATCCAGCAGACATAATGATACTTGAGGTGTCAGTGGCAGGTAGGGGTGCTGTTTGGAGCCTTTGTCAGATCTCTGTAGGTGAATCATAGAAGAGACCCTTGGGATTTTGGAGTAAGGCTCTACCATCATCTGCAGACAACTATTCTCCCTTTGAAAGAAAGCTTTTGGCCTGCTATTGGGCCACTCGTTATGGAAACTGAACATTTGACAGTGGGCCACCAAGTTACCATGTGACCTGAACTGAGTGTTATTGGACCATCAAGTCATAAAGTAAGATGTGCATAGGAACAATCTATTTTCACATGGAAGTGGTATATACATATACATATATATACATGATTGGTCCTGAGCAGGTCCTGAAGGCACAAGCAAGTTACATAAAAAGTTGCCCAAATGCCTACAATTTCTACTCTTGTTACAATGCTGTCTGCTGCCAAGCACACACCTTGTGGGGAGTTCTCTATGGCCGGTTGACTGAGAAAGAGAAGATTAGGGCTAATTTACTGAGGGTTCTGCACGTTATGCAGGCACCACCCCAAAGTACACAGCTACAGGATTACAACCCCTTTCTGGGACAACCTTGAAAGAGACTGGTAAAGGAAAATCTTCACAGTGGGCAGAACTTCAAGCAGTACACACGATATTACAGTTTCTTTGGAAGGAGAAACGGTCAGATGTGTGATTGTTTACCGATTCATGGGCTGTAGCCAATGGATTGGATGAATGGTCAGGGACTTGGAAGAGCATGATTGGAAAACTGGTGAGAAAGACATCTGGGGAAGAAGTATGTGGCTAGATCTCTCCAAATGGGCAAAGGATGGAAAGATACTTGTGTCTTATGTAAATTATAATCAAAAGGTGACTTCAGCTGAGGAGGAGTTCAGTACTTTAGTAGATAAGATGACTTGCTTGGTGGACAGCCAGCCTCTTTCCCCACACATTCCTGTCATTGCCCAACGGGCACATGAACAAAGTGGCCATGGTGGCTGAAATGGGGGTTATGTATGTGCTGAGCAACATGGACTTCTGCTCACCAAGTCTGACTGGCTACAGTTGCTGCTGAGTGCCATATCTGCCAACAGCAGAGATCAACACTGAGCCCCAGATATGGCATTATTCCCTGGGGTGACCAGCCAGCAACCTGGTGGCAGGTTGGCTACATTGGACCATTTCTTCCACAGAAGGGACACTGCTTTGTCCTTACTGGAGTAGATACTTATTCTGGTATCTTCTCCCCAAACCACCTGATCCACTAACATGGTATTCCACACATGGTATTTCTTCTGATCAGGTAACTCATTTCACAGCCAGAGAGGTGTGACAATGGGCCCATGATCATGGAATCCACTGGTCTTACCATGTTCCTCACATCCTGAAGATAGAAAGATGGAATGGCCTTTCAAAGACACAGTTACAGTGCCAATTAGGTGGCAGCAGTCTGGAGGCTGGTATATGTTTGAATCAGCATCCAATATATGGTACTGCTTCTCCCACAGCCAGGATCCGTGGGTCCAGGAACCAAGAGGTGGGAAAGGAAACAGTTTTGCTCACTATTAACCCTAGTGACCCACTAGGAAAGTTTTTGCTTCCTGTTTCCACATCCCTAAGTTCTGCTAGCCTAGAAGATTTGGTTTCAGAGGAGGGGGAGTGCTCCTGCCAGGAGCCAAAACAAGCATTCCATTGAACTAGAAGTTAAGCCTTCCCCCTGGTCCTTTTGGGCTTCTGATGCCCTTAAACCAATAGGTTAAGAAAGGAGTAAGAGCGTTAGGAAGGGTGAATCATCCAGATTACCATGGGAAGATTGGATTGCCACTCCACAATGGAAGTAAGAAGGATTATGTCTGGAGTGCAGGAGATCCTTTAGAGTGTCTCTTGGTGCTACTGTGTCCTGTGATTAAAGTCAATGGGAAGCTACAACAAACAGCCTGATCCAGGCAGGATGACAAAGGGCACAGACCCATTAGGAATGAAGGTGTGGGTCACTTTTCTAGGAAAAGAGCTAAGATCTGTTGAGGGACTTGCCTAGGGTAGAGGAAATACAGAATGGTAGTAGAGGAAGGTAGTTCCAAAGACCATCTAAGGCAACATGACCAGTTGCAGAAATGAGAATTATAACTGATATGAGTGCTTCTGTTGTATTTTGCTAAGAATGTATTTGTACAGATATTTGTGTTTTCTCTCAATTTCCTTAAAATGTTGTAATAACAATTAAGAGAGCCAGGCGATGGTGGCACATGTCTTTAATCCCAGCACTTGGGAGGCAGAGCCAGGCAGATCTCTGTGAGTTCAAGGCCAGCCTGGGTTACCAAGTGAGTTCCAGGAAAGGTGCAAAGCTACACAGAGAAACCCTGTCTCAAAAAAAAAAAAAAAAAAAAAAAAACAATTAAGAGAATATTAATAAGATATCTCCCAAGGGACATTGCCATCTGTTCTAAATTTAAAATTCATTTGTGGTTGTATGAAAGATAGTTATATCACTTTAGTTATAATTATGACCTAGTTAAATATATAATGTGTTTGTGATTGTATATGGCATAGTTATATTATGTTTAAGTGTTATTATAACTCGGTTATTGTTTTTATTTGGAAATTAATCATGACATAAGGAGATATGATTGTGTGTCCAGTTGACAAGGGGTAGATTGTGATGGCTATTCTTGGTTGTCAACTTGACTATATCTGGAATGAACTATAATCCAGAAATGTTGGACACACCATTTGTGTGCATTGTGGCAGGAAGACAGCATGCCTTTGATCCAAATCTTGAGGTGGAATGACACACACCTTTAATCCAGATCTTGAGGCGGGGGTGGGGGGGACACGACACACCTTTAATCTGGGCCACACCTTCTGCTGGAAGCCTATATAAGGACAGTGGAAGAAGGAAGGGTTTGTTCTTCTTTTCCTGCTTGCCCTAGCCTTGCCAGCCCATCCATTCCTTCACTGGCACTGGAGCCTACTTCTTCAGGATTCCAGCACATACAGAAGACCAGCTGAGACACCCAGCTTCATGGGACTGAGCAACTACTGGATTCTTGGACTTTCCATTCACAGCAAGCCTTGGTTGGATTCACTGGATTGCAGCCCATAAGTAATTCTAATAAATTTCATATATATATTTAATAAATATACTTATATACTAAATATATATTTAATAAATTCACACATATATTATTTAATATATATGAAATTTATTCATATATATCTATATATAGAGAGAGATTCCATCTACAAATTCTGTGACTCTAGAGAACCCTGACTAATACAGATGGTTTGCCTGTGCTTGAGAACCAGCCAAACTGACCAAGGTAAAACACCCTGTGAACTGGTCCATGGTGGTGGTTTTGGTCCTAACCAGATGAGCCCATGATGGCTCCCTTCAGACTGACCCCAGGGTTTTCATGAGAAGCCATTCACTCTGCAGGAAATTTTCTTCAGAACGAAGAGAGGTTTATACCTAGAGCTTGCACATGAGGCCTGACCGCCTCCTCCTGCCCTGAGCTCTACCTGCATTTGGGATGCATGCTGGGATGTTATATTTCCACACACTGCCTTTTACAGATGCTGTCTCCTCTCGTATTTGCTCCTCACCCTTCATTCATGGCCAGCCATGCCCACTGCCACACCAGGCTCTGTCCCAGGGACCCCAGACATCTAGAGCTCTGTCTCCCATCCTCACCTTTAGGGCGAATGAGGACATGAGAACACACGGGGACACACATGGTAGGGTGCTTCTGGCCCAGACACCCAGACTGACCCCTCCTCCCTGGGTTGGGAACAAATCTAGTAATCTTTGCTTATCACCCAGAGTAGTATAACCAAGTTGATGGTGAGTCCTTTCAGGGAAGAGGCAACAAGACATAGGCAATGCACCAAGGGGAAGGCTGGGGCTCTTCAGGGATTGTAGCTAGGAGTCAGTACTTACACAAGGGTCAGCTGGAGAACAGTACAAATTCTGTGTTCTCTGCAGAAAGGGAAAATTGAAATGACAATATTAAATGAAAGATTTGAATATGTTCATTTAAGTAGTCAAATGATGGTTGTTTACGTCTGTTTTATCACTACCAGCTTTATTGTTGGGTTTTGGTTTTTGTTTGTTTGTTTTTGTTTTTGAGACAGGGTTTCTCTGTGTAGTTTTGGTGCCTGTCCTGGATCTCACTCTGTAGACCAGGCTGGCCTCAAACTCACAGAGATCCAACTGCCTCTGCCTCCCGAGTGCTGGGATTAAAGACAGGAACCACCACCTCCCGGCTGTTGTTATTTTTGAGATGGGTCTCAGGTAGCCCAGGCTGTCCCTAGACTCAGTATATAGCCAGTGCTGGACCTGAACTACTGATCTTCTTGTTTCTATGTTCCATGTGCTGGGATTCCAAGCATGTGCCATCTTCCCTGGCTAAAGTTAGTATTATTACTTAGAGTGTGCTGGGTACAAACAACTCAAGTGCTTTGAGTTCCCATCTAACAAATTAAAGTTAATGCCAACAGCAAAATCAGAGGAGGTACTTCAGTCACATAAGGCCATGGCCTAATATGTGGGGGCTTTCTCACTAAGGGCTTTCCATCATGAGCACTCAAATGTGTTTCTCTGTCTCACTTTCACTTCAGCCTTTAGAAACCATGGCCTCATGCACATGTAGGGGGTTTCCAGAAACCACCACTTTACAGAGGGCACTCACTCCTTAATTCTTTGATTAAAAATATTGGTTTTATTCTGTCTAGAGGGTTTCCCTTAAAATATCTACTTTTTTCCATACCTATTTTTATGGACCCGTGCATCTCTCTGGAGAAAGAGATGTTTTCAAACTACTGTTTGACCCAAAGCAAGTTCCACTCCCTGGCTCTTGGTCCCCAAGAAGCCTTTGTGGAGTCATACAAATAGGCAAGGTCTGGTTTCTACAGGCTGGTTTGAACAATTCCACCAGTCCTCAAACATAATGGCTGTCAGCCATTTTTCTTCAGTTTGGCCACCCAGGATGTATCAACCACGAACACCAGCACCTCCCTCAGAGTAGCTTAAGTGAGAATGAAGCTGTGGAGTACCAATCATATCCCAGAATGCATAAGGCTCAGAGTTCTGGAGTCTGGGAGATCCTAGAGAGGAAATCTATCACCATTTGTAGCTCTCCTGAGGTCATAGCCCTGAAAATCAAATGAGCCCAAGGCACCCAGGGCTGCAGCCTTTCCTCTTAATGGCGTCCCACCCCTCTATTCCCAACTCAAAAAGAAGTCAGTCTGGCTGCACATTCAGAAGCAACACTGGACTTCACATTGCTTTTGCAAAGCCACTGGAATGACATGTCACTCTTCCTTTGTGACTCAGCCATTCTCCGCTCTTAACCCCAGTCCAGGGACCAGAGCTGGAGAGAAGCATGGTCTGGTACACAGTCACCTGAGAGGGGTGTCACTGTCCACTGTTCTAGAATCTCCCACTTCACACTATTTGGTATTCTTTAATGTAGACAGTGACTTTGACACAGTCCTTGAGGTCCCTCAGGGCTATTCTTTCCATCTTCTCTACAGTCCTTGGATGTTCTGAGGATACTTGGTAATGGTGCATTATACAGATGAGTAAATATGGCTTTGCTTGGGGAAAGAGAATCCAGGTATCTCAAGGCAGATATTGGCATACATAAATAATGGTTCTGGTGACCATACCAGAGGGTCTGACACACACCAGTTATCACCAGAAAGCTTAAATGGTCCTGCATGGGCTGGGAAGCTGTCATGTGATCCTGACAGCGACATGGAAGCTCCCAGAATCATGGCTCTGAACAGATGAAGAGGCCCTGAGAGACTTAGGAAAGTGGAAATGGATCTTGGCTGCTCTTTCTCTGGGAACTCTGTTCTTGCAAATAGAGACTCAAAATAAGAGAGAGACAATTGCCCCTTGTTGCTATGGAGCATTGCACCCAGGAAGAAGGATGGTTGCCTGGACTGGACATTTCTAGCTCATTTGAGTGATCCAGGAAGAGGTACTCTTAGCATTTGGGGGAGGGTAGAGGCAATGGGCTTCAAAGTATCCATTGACCATGTAATAGGTTACATGGTAGCTTCCTGCTAGAAAACTGAGTGGATGAAACGTCCCAGTGGTTCAGAGTTCAAACCAGCCAGGCAATAATACAAATGACAAATAATACACAGGCCTGAAGTGCAAAACCTCAGTGAGCCATGAAGCTCAGTGTCCAGTGATATGTGGCCCATTGAAGTCTATGTTGGTGGCTCTTTATCATCTCCAGCTCAAAGGGGTCAACACTGAAGGAAGACCTAGCCTTACACACAGTACAGTAGCATGAGTAAAGACACAGGCTGAAAACAAGAAAAGAAAAAAGTAGAGGAAGGAGTGAGGGGTGACTTTAAGTATGATAACTCAACTGAGACATCATAAAATAAGAAGCTTTGTGTGTAAAATCACATGAGAACTCACCTTTTTTTTCCTGCCATATATTCGTGGAGGATTGGGTAGAAAGTTTTCCTGCAAGATAGAAGGACATGAAAAAAAAAAAAAAAAAAAAAAAAAAAAAAAAAAAAAAAAAAGCCGGGCGGTGGTGGCGCACGCCTTTAATCCCAGCACTCGGGAGGCAGAGCCAGGCGGATCTCCGTGAGTTCGAGGCCAGCCTGGGCTACCAAGTGAGCTCCAGGAAAGGCGCAAAGCTACGCAGAGAAACCCTGTCTCGAAAAACCAAAAAAAAAAAAAAAAAAAAAAAAAAAAAAAGATAGAAGGACATGAGTGCATAGTTATCTTAGTTATCTGTATTTCAGTGGTGTGAGTCTGGTGTTTCCAATCTCCTTGCAGAAGTTCTGCCTGGATCTTCTGTGGACTATTCAGATCCAAGTTGTCTGACCCCATTTCCCTCTTATCACCTACAACTTAGAGACTCTGGCCTGTGGCAGCTGGAAATACCTCCTGACATGCCTCTTCCTTAAGTCCTGAGAATGTTCCCTCATTCCCTCATTTTCCTCATTACCATTACATGTTCTCTGTTACCACCTGGCATGTTCACCTTGATTTTCCATGCTAGGACTTAGTCGGTTCACACGCAGTTGATGCATGCATCTAGGGTGTCACATACTCTGATGAGTTTGGAGCACACCAAGACAGAAAATCTCATTTGGGGAGATAGAGGAGAAAGCTCATGGGAGAAATGTCTCTCTCTCTCTCTCTCTCTCTCTCTCTCTCTCTCTCTCTCTCTCTCTCTCAACATGGTTTCTCTGTGTAACCCTGGTCATCCTGCTTGCACTGTAGACCAGGCTGGCCTCAAACTCAGAGATCCACCCACCTCTGCATTAGGAGTCCTTGGATTAAAGGCATGTGCTACAACCACCAGCACAGGGAACTAATTTCAAACAGTTTAAGAGGTGTCTCTGGGAGCTGAGGGGCCAGGACAGTCATGAAGGGGTGAGATATCTGAGCTAAGAATTATAGGATAAATACTAGCTTGCTGGATAGAGAGATAATGAAATCATGTCTAGGGTAGTCTGTTTCTAACAGTTTGATTGTCAACTTGACATACCAAAGAAGAGCAAACATCAATTGAAGAATTGTCTCTCATGGGCATGTCTGTGGAGTCATTTTACTGATTGTGGGTGGATATACAAAGTCCAAGCCCACTGTGGGTGGCGTCATTCCTATTAAGTTGGGTCTAAGCTGAATAAGAAAGGCAGTTAAACATGAGCCAAAGAGCAGTGTTCTTCTGCGTTTTCTGTTTCAGTCCCTGCCTCCATACTTCCGCCTTCTGTTCCTGCCTTGGTTTCCCTCCATGACAGACTGTAACCTGTAAGTCAGATAAGCACTTTCCTCCACCAAGCCGTTTTGTCATGGTGTTTGTCATAGCAGTACAGGAAGCACAGGAGAAGAAGGAGGCTGGGATTAGCTTAGAGCTGATGTCTTCTTTAGTTTACCTGAAGTCCTGGGTTCAACCCCTGCTCACCAAATAATGATGATGATGATGATGATGATCACATATATCAACTGCCATTTCCTTTGTCTTTCTTTTTTGTGGTGTTTTGAAACAGGGTCTCTCTATGTAGCCCTGGTGGTCTTGAAACTTGCTGTTTGACCAGGCTAGCCTCGAAACCATAGAAATTCTCCTGCCTCTGCCTCCCAGGTGTTGAGATCACAGGCTCCTGCCATCAGGCCTAGTCTTCAACTGCCATTTCTAACCTCAAGGACATCGCTGATCCCTTGTCCACATTTTGAACTGAGGTAATTAGGACAGCGTTAAGATCGTGCACAAACAACCTGAAATGATGGCTTGTGCCATACACACAGCCCATCCCCCTCTGTCCACACAACCCTCTTGGTTGCAGCTGCTTGCATGTCCTTCCTCTAGATTCCCTTTCACTCATATGACAGTCACCTCTTCCTTTGGCTTCAGGGCAGAAATTTCTCTGCAAGAACCCCAGTCCTGAATGGCCATTCCCTCCTCAGAGGTTCTGTACCTATCATTTGTCAGCACCAGCAGGGTGTACCTCCCAGCAATGCCTCTCTCCTGAGTGACAGGAAAACCTCACTGGCACCAGGGCTTTCCTGTACCTCACACCTATGTGATATGTAAACAGTGCAAGAAGAAGCATTGACCCCCCCATCCCCGCCCGCATTGCAATACCTGGATCAGGAATTTCAGGGGCCAGTTGTAGCAGCGCAGACTCAATCTCCAGTTCTTTGATTGTCCATGGCCTCCCAGGATTTCAAACTCAGGGGGTGTGTACCAGTCCCCATCCTCACTCTGTATGGACTTCGTGGAGATCCCTGTAAGACCACAGTAGGCTGATTGTGAGCCTGCTTTGTCTCTAGTGCTCAGATTCATGGCCTCCCACCACACTGAGCTGGGTTCACCCAAACCATGCTCAAAGTCAATAGCAGAAGAGCCAGGTCTCTGCTCTGGCTTCAGGAGTGCCAGCTCAGCCCTGGAATTCCCTAAAGAGTTTGCTGAATCCTTTTCTGTTTCTTTGATTTTCATGCATGAAGAAAATGACAATCACCACCAACAGACACCTTTTAAAAGCACTTCAGGGTCATTAGACAAGGACAAGCTAGTGACTGACTCCACAGGGTGAGTGGATTTCAACCTGATGTTGAGCTCTCGGGCTGGAGAACAGCCAGAGTCTCAGGAGGCCCCAGGCAAGGTGGAGGTGGAGTCCTCAGTTTAGAACTGAGCCTGCAGGTGGTTTCTACAAACTTGAGAGTTCTGTGACATCATTGTCTACCCAATTTAATGAGACTATTGAACAGAAGCTTGTCCATCGCTGTAGTTGGAGGTAGGTACCATCAAACATAAGTAAATATTATCCCATGGAAATACAAATTATGATTTTTTAAAAGCTAGTCATATGTTTGGTATCTTCATTTTTATAAAAATGCAAAGGAAATCACAAAAACATAGTTTCATGTCCCACCAAGATGACCATAATAAAAAACAAGAAGAAATAGTAGCTATTTATTATAGGGAAATTGGAAGTCTCCTGTACTGCTGGTGGGAATATAAAACAATTTGGCCACCACAAAAACATTTTGGTGATTCATTACTGAGTTCAACATATAATCATCATATGACCCAGCAATTCTACTTCTGTGTGTGTACCTCAAACTGAGTGTTTATATCACATAAATGGTTTATACAAATTATCAAAACAGCATTATTCATTATAACCAAAGGCATAGTTGTGCAAACTGAAGAACAAAGAAAATGTGATATAGTCATACAATGGAATATGAAATTATCTGTGAGTTTAAAACATATTGCATAACCTACACAGATGAGGCCTGACAGCATTGTGCTAAGTGAAAGCAGGCAGTCACAAGTGACATACATTACAAGATGTCATTTGTATGAAATGTGTGCAGTGGGCAGATTTATAGGACAGGAACTGGGTGGCTGAATGCTCAGTAGAGTGAAGTGGGAATGAGCATCAGCCACTAAATATACAGAGGGGGACAAATACATCCCATGCTAATTTTTTTCTAACGTACCAAAGTCAAATACCCCATTGACCATAGACTCTAAGTACTGAATTATATGGTATATTAATTATAACTCAGTAAAGCTGTTAAAAATAGTGACAATGTATTTCTGTCAACTGACATCCACAAGCTCATATTAAGAGAGATCTGAGATGAAGTCCATACTAGTACTTTCGTTTTGCAAACCTTTATGGTGTATGATTGCAGAATATGTTCTACCTACAATATAAATTAATCCTCGTGGATGTATCATGTGTCAGGCTTTATATTATGGTCCTCTACTTCAAAAATGAGAAATTTCATGCTCAGAAAGCCCCTCCACCACTACAGAATGAGACCATCACACTTGGCAAAGCTGAGTCTGGAATTTGGGTTCTCTGCTTCCCAATCCTGTGATGGTCTCACCATGACAAGTGCCCTGCCTTGGTGCTGATGATCCAGGGATGTGGAGGCAGAGGCTGAAGGTCTCTTTACATTTATGTCTGACTGGAAAGGAAATATACATTAGTTTCCATCTATGGATGGAAGTTCATGGGCTTCTCGCTTGTTCTCTGGGCATTTCATGGCTTCATCCATGTTGTTGTGAGCATCTGTTAGGTATGGTTTATTCAAGTGTGAAAATAACATGTTAGGATTCCTTCCTGTTTTCAAGCCATGCTAACCCCCAATTCCTTAAGTAATTCTGCTATTGCTTGTGATTTTTTTAATTTAGCACTTGCAAATTAAAAAACATGAAACTCACCTTGCTTGAATTTATCCTTGCTTAACACTCCCTTCATGTCACCACATGTCACAGGAAGCAGCTCAGCGCTGAAATCCACATTCTCATATCTACGCTTTCTTGGAACTGAAAAAGATGTTCCCTTCTGTTTCACTTTGTAGGTACACATCCCCCCGCCTCTTATCTCTTGGGGTCATTCCTTTAACACTTGGGACATTTTGCTCCTCAGATCTCTAGCTTCTGTCTTTCTTACAAGTGGCATGTTGGATACACAATAACAAATGTTTTACCCCTAATTTATGAAAAACAGAAAACTTAGCAGAGAAATTTGGCTTTGATAAAACTGTCCTGATTCTCACTCTAGTGACCACCACTGATTGCTACATGACCATCAAACAGGAGCTGTCTAGCGGTTCTGTTTTACATAAAGATGGTAGCCAGAGATGTTCTTCTTAACTCCCCATTTGAGCACTGACTGGATGAGCAAAGAGAGATGATAGGCACCTAGCAGATTGGGTGGAGATCATTCCTCTATTTGTCTGCTCTGCTCCATCTCTCCCTCACAACAGCAAAACCCATAAATAGTCAAAATATGATTTAAATTAGTTTAAAATAATTGTTATGGCCAGTCTTTTTTTTTTTTTTTTTTTGGTTTTTCAAGACAGGGTTTCTCTGTGTAGCTTTGCGCCTTTCCTGGAACTCACTTGGTAGCCCAGGCTGGCCTCGAACTCACAGAGATTCGCCTGCCTCTGCCTCCCGAGTGCTGGGATTAAAGGCGTGCGCCACCACCGCCCGGCGTTATGGCCAGTCTTAAACTTTAGAAGTATGACAGATTTGTCAACTTCTTATTGCCAACTGTTTATTTAGCATTATAATAGAAAGTGCAATTGTTGGGATTCATTTAGTAGATGCCAAAAAAGGTCAGTCTCCTCAGAACTAAGGGCATACTTCCTGTGGGGGGGCGGGGAGAGAAACCTGCAAAGGTTCAGACAACCAGATTGAGTTGGTCTCCTGAGGTCCAAGGACACACATCTTAAGGCAAAGTGTCAAACCATCCTTGTGACCACAGAGCACATTAGTGGGATTGGATCAGGCCAGAACGGGCCCCTTAAACCAGGCCCCAGAAGAAGAGCTGAATTTCTTTTAATGAGGCCAACCTGGTATCTGGCCCCTCTTCTTTCCTACTGGGGAAGCAATGGGAGCATCTCATGGGAGAGACAGCATCCTCTACTTCCAGCATCATTTCACAGCTAAGCCCATCACACAAGACGCCTACACAAGGCCCAGTCATTGTGTTCTCTTAACCTCCCCAACCCGGATGGGCTCACACCAGCTGCTATTGGACAGAGGCAGGGCTCCAGGGACCACTAAAAATGGGGCGGGGGGAACCAGCCCGGCTTTCCATGTCCTGCTCTAGGGCTTGCCCAGCTGAAGGAGAGGAGGTGCTTTAGATGGGAGGGAGCAAGAAGGTTTGTTCCTTTGCTGTTTGCTCTTTCAGACAGGGTCTTGCTGTCTCAGAAATTGAACCTCAGGTCAGAAGGGGCACTCAGTTGCTGGTGTGGAATGCTGTTGCTGCAAAAATGGAACTGGGAAGCTACAAGGCCTGCTCAAGATAAGAAAGAACTCACAAAAAGGGAGGAGGAAAAGGAGTATGAGACAGCAGAGTTGCTTTCTTCTTGTAAGTCACCCAATCTAGACATTTTAATAATCAATGGGCAAGTTAAAAGAATTTCCATAAAAATCAGGTTCAACTCAAAGGGAAGGGAAAAATTAGAACAGATAAGATTGATGACAGAAATACAGTCACGGCCTTGCTCCAAACAGCTTTGCTTCTAGATTTTGCTGCTCTCAAATTTACAAGTAAGCTAGAGTAGACTTTTTTAGGGTTTTAGATTCCCCTAAACCTTAACAAATTCTGTGTGTACTCAGGGGGGCAGGGGAAAGACCCACAGAAGCCATCTTACCCCTGGTCTTGGCAGAGGGTCCTGGGTTCTTTTTCATTTTCTTTCTCCTGAGAGCTGTCTGGCCACCAGCTCTGCTGTCATCTAGGAGAGACACAGGCAAAAGCAGAGTTGAGCCAAACTACAGCTGACAATAGGAATGAGCAAGGGAGGCATCCCGGTTACATTGGGGTACTTTCTCTACACACTGGGACGAAAGCTCATGACAAAGAGCCGTGATGGACCAGGCAGAAGTCAGACTTAAAGCATGTGAGGATTCTGTTGTATTAACACTTTGGAAAGAAATTTCATTCAAGTCTACACACAAAGAGACTTGAATGAAAATATTGTCAAAAACTCAGCCCGAATAATGCGGTTTTCAAAGTATGCATTCAAAAAATGGATGCAACTACTTTTTTTTTAACTTTCCAACAAAAATATACATAACAGTCAACAGCACAGTTGGGTCATTGTCAAAAGTGTAAGATTCCTAGTTTGGTGAAATTCATATTGAGTGGGATTCCAAAGCCTGCTTCATAGATCTGATGCAAAATTGATAATCATTTAGAAAAAGACACTTAGCTTTTGTCCGGGAAGAAAGAATCCCTTAGACCATTACTAAAATCAGATGGCAGGGGGCTATTTGTAAATATATACATGGTTTAGGAATAAGATTGTAGGATATGTCACCATGTAGATATGTCACCATATATCACCATATGTTTGTGATTAACTTTTTTCAAAATCTTGTAAGATTGATTGCTCTTGCCCCCCCCCGCCTCTCTCTCTCTCTCTCTCTCTCTCTCTCTCTCTCTCTCTCTCTCTCTCTCTCAAAAGAATACTTCTAATGACAAAGCTGAGCATATTAAATATTTTAAAAACACAAATAAAAATATGGACATCACTTCTATTCCAATAGCCAAATATAACCAATGCATGCATTTTTGCATGTGTGTGTACATGTTGTGTTCCTTTGTATGTACATCTGTGGACATGCCTGAATGTGTGCGGTGTGAAGGCCAGAGATCAAAGTCAAGCGTCTTCCTCAGTAGCTCTCCACCTCAACTGTTGATGAGGTCTGACATTAAGCAGAACTCACTGAAGTGGCCAGTGTCTAGGCTTGCTGGTGAACAAACACGAGGGACCCATCAGTGAGGGATTACAGATGTGTACATCATGCCCAGTGTTTTTACGTGGGTGCTAGGGATCCAAAGACTTGGGTCCTTAGACTTGTGTAGCCAACACTAAACACTAAGGCATCTCACCTGCCCTTCAATGAACACTTGTGAAAATGAACTGTCCATTATTTTTCTATCTCAAAGTATCTTCTTCTCTAGATAAATAAATAGTTATATTAAAAAGCCTGAATTTGTAAATAAAAATGAATGGTTTCATTGGTACATATGTTCACAAATATGTATCTTCTTATCACATGCACATACACACTTTTATACGTATACATATGCAGCCTGTTTGCCTCATTCATCCTTTGTAACATTTTTCCAAACCAATAAAAGTTTTGTACTGCGGATGACAGCACCTCTGGACTACCACATGTACGAGAAACAAACCACTTGTAAAAGACATTGTATGTCGGGACCCTTGTTACAGCATCTTAACCCATGTCTTATAGTAGCTATAAAACTTTTGTGGGAGGGTGGAGGTTGCTCAGTGGTTAAGTGCAATTAGTGTTTACGCATGAGGACCTGAGTTCAGATACCAACATCCATGTAAAAATACGTATGTGTGCATCTCTAATGCTAGTGTTAAGGGACTGGAGACAAGAAGCTCGCTGGGGTTTGCTGACTGACAGTTCTCAAGGGAATAAAGTAGAGGGTGAGAGAGCAGGACATTCAGCATCCTGCTCAGGCCTATAGATGTGGGTACAAGTATGTGTACCCATATGCACAAGTGTGAATACAACACACACGCACATCTCACAGCTCACACACACACACACACACACACACACACACACACACACACACACACACACACACACTGTCATGGCTCAGAAACTCACAGGCCATATCCTCTGCTTGCTTACTTGTTGGCCTTCTCCATTTTACTCTTGACCAGTTGTGGCCTTTCTTTTTTCCTTCAAAATAAAAAGAATAAAATTAATCATTTAGAGACATAAAATGTAATTCTCTATGCCTCATATGCCAGCCATATTCAGATACTGTTTTCAAACTTCTGATCCTGGAAATGAGGCAAAATTCTTAACAACTAATGTAGTCATGCGAAGGTCAGTGACAGAGCTAAATTTTAATTGTTCCTGCATCTTGGGCTATGGCCTTGGGAGGCTATTGGAAAGCACCTTCCTTTGAACACCTTTGAAGAATGGAAAGCTAATTCCTGCTCATGCCTGAGATTGATTGGATGAAAAGTGTTAGGGCATGTATATACTGTGAAAATTCATGCCAGAGGCCATGCTACCCTGGAAGTTGAAGAATGCTCTCAACTTCCATGTAGAGACTTTTAAAAAACAAATCTCCATTCTTGGAGCTGAAGAGATGGCTCAGTGGTTAAAAGCACTGAGTACTCTTCCAGAGGACCCGGGTTCAATTCTCAGCACCCACATGGCAGCTAACAACTGCCTGTAACTCCAAGATCTGAAACTCTCACACAGATATAAAATTCAGGCAAAACACCAACACACATACAATAAAAATAAATATGCTATTTAAAAAAATCACTCCTGGTGGTGGTAGCACATGCCTTTAATCCCAGCACTCAGGAGGTAGAGGCAGGGGGATCTCTGTAAGTTCGAGGCCAGTCTGGTCTACAAGGTGAGTTCTAGGACAGCCAAGACTGTTTCACAGAGAAACCCTGTCTCAAAAAACAAAACAAAACAAAACAAAACAAAACTCTGTTCTCTAAAGTTAAAGCATGAAACCAATCACATGTTAAATCCAGCATAGGAAGGGCCAAGATGGGAGTGGGGGAACTTTAAGGAAGCCCAGTAGGATCTTTTTGTTACAGTTTTGTTTTCTCTTGAATTTTCCAAATTCATGTGACCATAGCTCTGAGGGAATGGAAATTCAGTCTAATGATGACAGTAATGGATCATTAATATTTATTAATCTGTGTGTGTTGATATATAGGATGTGAATGTGCATGTTCATGTGTGTGTATATGAGTGTAGCCATGCATGTTCCAGCGCATGCATGTGAAGATCAGAAGGCAACACCACATGTCAATTCTTGCCTTGCACTTTGTCTGGGACAAGGTCTGTCTGGTTGTTCACTGACTATTATTGGCTGGGAGCAGCCTGTGACTATAATTCTACTAGGTGGAAGTGAAGGCCTGACCCACAGAGGGAGGCCTTGTGATTTTCCCCACCTGAGATGCCCATTTTGTGGTGAGTCAACAACAGACTCCAGGGCTGACAAGGAAGGAAGCACCAAAACTGCTTTACTCTTCCAAGAAAGATGTCATGCTGAAGAGCATCCCACCCAGAGGTGCTGTGGAACAATCCTTTTGTACACTGTAAATATGCATTACTCTCATTGGTTAAATAAGAGCTGACTGGACTATAGCTGGGCAGGAAGAGCTTGGGTGGGAGAACCAGACTAAGAGGACACTGGGAAGAAGGGAGGAGTTTGGGGAGTCTTGAGGAGGCGCAGAGAGAAGGACATGCTGTGCTGAAAGAAGGGACCACCACATGGCAGAGGATAGATAAGAAATATGGGTTGATTTAAAATGTAAGAGTTAAGTAGTATGAAGCCGAAGCTATTGGCTAAGCATTTATAATTAATATTAAGTCTCTGTGTGGGTATTTGGGAGCTGGCTGGTGGTCCCAATGAAAAACTCCACCTACACAGTGGTACTTCTGCTGTCCAGTCTACTTCAAGCTAGAAACCAGTTTCTGAGAAATTCCATCAAGATTCACCTGGACACGGCTCAGTTAGATCAGCTAAGCTGATGCCCATGTCATCTGATACTATAGTTGCTCTGCTACATAGAACTGAAAGCAGATGTGCCCACTCATCAGGCTGGTAGAACTTAACCAACTTGGCTGACTGTTTCTTCAGTCCTGCGAGAAGCCATGACTGGCAGGTTCTGATACCTTTCCCAGTGGCTGTGGACTGTGGAAACAGTCTATGACTGAGTAGCACCCATCTCTGGTAATGGAGGCTGACACTGGGTTTGTCCTGCAGAGGATAGCCTTATGCCCATGGCTGGGCCTTGACCTACTGAAGTAGGGAGAGAGTTACAGGTGACACATGGGCCTACTCTGAAACTCAGGATTCTGTTCTGGTACCTAGGACTCCAGTCTAATTCTGGTTCCATCTATGGAAATTCTTTGTCTTTCTTCTTTCTGGCCCCTGGATAGAAGGTGTGGGTGAGAAAAGGAGATGGTCTGAACAAGAGGTGAGAGTGTAGTCCCCAGAATGACATGTAGATTTTATGGAAGGAAATAAGAACAGAACTCCATGTCCTACACGTAAGAGGTCTGGGGACAAGAGAAGCATTGATGACATTCTTTCAGAATTGCCAGACCATCACACTGGTGTGCTCTCCCCCACTGAGAATGCTGAGGTGATGCCACTCGGTCAAGGTCATGGGCAGAGAGTGAATAGGATGCTCACCCCCCACTCAGTAACCCTTCCTCAATCAAGGACTAGGCATGGTGCAAGGAGCTGGAACCCAGATTCACAGCTGTCCCCAGGCCATGTTGGAGGCACCATCTATGCCCACGGTGACTAAAGAATGTCCTGTTCAGGGGTACCCAACTATTACAAACATTTCTTTTCTAGGGACATGTTTTCTTAAGACCTGTGTGAAAGCCAGGCGTTCACATATCTCCCTCACACAAACACAGAGAGCTGCACTTTAGAGATCTGTCAGAGACAATCAGGAATTATACTCTATAAACTTTGTTAAATGCCACATGAAAAAGGTTGCATTTGACACTGCTGCCTTGTAATTTACAGACAGGGACTTTCAGCACACTGTGCTCTTTAATCACCATAGACCTGCGTGTGCAGCTTCTACCTGACCTGCTGAAAATCACAGTCCTTATGGATCTTGGTGAAGGGACAAGAAGACATCTTTCCTGTATACCAGATGTCACTCCTAGATGCTTCTGTAAGAATATGAAAGCAGGGTCCACAGAGAGACTTCTACAAGGATGCTACTAACAGCGTCTTCATAATATCCCAAGCTGGAAATGTTGAAGAGTCCAGCATTTGGAGAACATGCAAACAAATCCAGGCTATTCAGACAATGTATGTACTCCTTAGCAATAAAAAGAAGCCAGTTGGCACTGCATTCCTCACTGTGAGGTGATTGCAAAGTCGTTCTGTGGAGGGATGAGAACTCGACAGTAAAGAACATGTTGGAACATCTTATTTATAAAGCACTTAAAAATCAACCTAAATTAAATCACCCTTGAAGAATAAGTGGCTGCCTTGATGGGAGGTGGGAAGAAAGAGCATAAAAGCCTTCAAAGGCTTATGCTCTTGGTGTTTGTCTCAATAAGATTTTTTTATTGTAAAAATAATGCAATTAATTAGCAGGATTCATCAAAGGGTGTACTTAGGATTTGTGCCTTTTACTATAAATTTTATCTTAAATAAGAACTGCAAAAGACATTTGAACATGGCCACACGTTCAAATACTCCAGTGGGTTTTCTTCAGAGTACTCTCCACTTCCTCCTGAGTCCTCACTGAGTCTTTCAGTTCACTGCTTGAGGCATTCCAAGACTTTCCTACCATGGCATTTGAAATTCCTCCTCAAGGGCCCAGCCGCTGAGTGAGGCTTGCCTCTAATCCCAATATTCAGGAGGCAGAGGCAAGCAGATCTCTGTGAGTTCAAGTCCAGCATGGTCTATCTATACAGCAGGCTCCAGACCAATCAGGGTTATATATACAGTGAGACCCTGTCTCAAAAAAAAAAAAAAAAAAAAAAAAGACAAATGACAAATTCTTCAGTCTCCCCTCATTGCCTAGCTCCAGTGTTACTTCTGAATAATTAGGGATGTGGTGGAGCCATACCCCACTTTCAGCTGACTCATTACTGCTTACAATGGTGTATGTTCTGAGAAATGTGTTGTTAGGCTCCTTTGTCACTGTGCAGCCACCAATGTACTTACAGAGTAAGTCAACTGCAACCCCACACAGCAATACCATCTTATGAGACCATTCTAATACGTGTGGTCAGTCACTGTCATGGCCACTATTACATAGTTCCTGACTATTCCAAAATATGGACCACTCTTTACCTCTCTAGGAACAAATTGCCAAACATTCAGTAACTTCAAACAACACAAGTTTATCTAACAATTATGTAAGATATCTGATATGGGCCTCACCAGGCTGAAGTCCAGATGTCCACAGCCCTTCATCCATTCCTAGAGGAGAACCTATTTCCTTGCCTTTTCCAGCTTCTCAAGGTGACCCATGTTCCTTGGTCCCTTTCTGTATCCTCAGACTCACCAGTATTGCATCCTTCTGACTATTCCTCCACAGTCATTTCCTCTCTTTGCATTTGAGAAAAGTTCCACATTTTTTATGTTTGTTTGTTTGTTTGTTTGTTTGTTTGTTTTGTTTTGAGGCAGAATATAGCCCTGGCTCTCCTGAAACTCACTCTGTAGACCAGGCTGGCCTCAGCCTTAGAGATCTGCCTGCCCCTGACTCCTAAGAGCTGGAATTAAAGGCATGCACCACCATCCAAAGAAGGTTCCCCACTTCTTCAGAACCATAAAATCAGAGTAATCACTCCTACACCAACAGTCAAAGACAATGACTTACCAAGGTCCCTAGCTTAATCATATGTGTAGAATGTCTTTGTCATTAAGATAACAGGTTCCAAGAGCAAGGAGGAACTCAGGGGAGCTCACCACAGTCTACCCCATCGTCACACACAATAACAATAATATTTCTAGCAGTAAATAACTTATCAGAAACATCAAAAGCACATAAACTCTCATTTGTTTCCTTACTTCTCTTCCTCTTGGATTTTCCTACAATAGTGTTGTTTCCAGTCTCCACAGTATCTAGAAAACAATGAGTGGCAATGAGGGAAGAAATAATGAAGAGAAGTTACAAATCTTGGGGCCAATCACAGTGCAAATGTCCTGCTTACATCAAAGTTTCAACTGTCATTCATTTCCTCTTTCTAAAGACCCCAAGGCTACTGAACTGAGAACTAGGAATCCAGGGAGGGCCCTGGTTATTTTGGCCCTCTACCCCAATGTGACATTTTGAATCTTGACATATTTTTGCACAGATAAAATAAGAATTTTGTAGGAAATTTTCTGGGCAAGCTCTAATTAATTATTGGACATAGTTGAGGAGTCGGGTTGAAAATACACACTGGGTTGAAAATAGTTGGCTTGAACTCTTTCCTCCTCACCAGCAGCAGATCACACTGGACAGTGTCCTTTCTAGGGCCCTGACAAAGCATTGTCATCCAGTTGCAGGCGGTCCACTGCTGTCTTAGCTGGCAGGGAAGGATGGGTGCAATTCAGCACATCAAGGCAGCAGTCAAGGTAAGTGCCAGTTTTAAGAGTACATTTCTTGTACTTCATCCACATGTGATCAACTGACTCTATCTTCTTAAATGTGACTCTGTAAAGGTTTCTTGCTTCTCTCCAGCTCCCAACAGGCAAATGCAGAGAACTGGATTCAGGGATGAACTGGACCACAAGCTGGAGCCTGTGGTACTCACTGAGCCATGCCTAACCCATGACCCTTGTCCAGGCTTATCTATTAGTTACCTGCTCGGCTGCTTCCCATCCTTGCTTCTGGGTCTTCTCGCGTGTATGCTGGGGAACACATGACACAGGAACAGGCCTCATTTCCACTTGTGGATTGCTCTGCTCCTGGGCCAACATTGTGGGTGTTGGTTTGTTATTTAATTTAGCAATACTGGGGACCAAACTTGGCCTCATTTGTTCTAGGCAAACAGTCTACTACTGGACTACACCCTCACATGTCCTTTTATGCTTCCTTTTTTTGACATGGTGCCAACTAATTTTCCTGGATGGCTTTGAACTCACTCTAGCCCAAGCTAGCCTTGAACTGTGGACTTCTATTGTGATCTTAAGTTCCTGACAAATGATCTTTTTATATCTTAATTGATCTACCCCCTTTTCTTATTCCTCTAAAATATTTTTACATTCTCCCTTTGTCTGACTTTCAGTTCCTCTTTTTTTATTTTTTCCTCTCCTGTCTTGCCCCCTTTGTCAGAACTGCATCCGTGTGATGATTTTAGGGCATGGTCACCATGTCTCTCATGGGACAGCAGGTTAGAAGCAAGCTCTTCTGACCTCTTTCATTATTCACTTAGTGATCTAGTGCTCTGGATAGTAATCCTAACCAAACAATTGCTGTCCGTGGATCCTGAGACAGACAACTAAGATCCCACTGTTGTCTGACTACACAGCAAGCCAGATTCTGAAGGAAGAAACAAAAGAGGAGATATTTTCTGGGGAAACAAACAAAAAACAATAACAACTAAGAAACAAGCAAAACCTGCTCTAGCAGTCACACCCAGGATCCAATGGAGCTATTCTCTTTCCACCATGTACTTTATTTTCCATTTTTCCACCTTTAATTTGCTACATGTAGCTATAAGTAAGATTTTAAAGTTCTTATCTTCTATGATGAAGAATAGAACTATTCTTTGAAAATAGTAAAGAATAACTTTTGCTAGTTTTACCAGTTTCAAACCCATCCCAAATTAGCCATGATTAACCACTAACTAATCGTTAACCATGCTTCTGAAATCTAGCCAATGAGAGGCAGCAATACAAATTTGAAATTTAGCCAATCAGCAGCAGCCATCCTCCAAACGCTTGGGTGATGGTCCCATAGCTGCCTGTGCTAAGCACTTCTATTTTGCAAAGTCTATAGCCCGTGAACTACCTGCTTCTCAAAGCTCCGGGTGAAATGAGCTGTGGCCACATGCTTACACACAGTGTCTCCCACTCCCACCACGGCCTTCACTTAGCAAGCTTTCAGCTTCAGACGTGGGAGTGATGACCTCTAAGTACAGTGTTCCCACCAAGATCATCTGAAGACCTGCTGGGAGTGCCCTGCGGGTGTGAATTCTAGACTTCTTGTGCACAACTCAGATAGTGTTCCTGAACCACTGCCAAGTGACTCAGTCTCAACAGCAACTTGTTTCATTGTGTTCTTTTTTCTGAGTTATGTTAATTAAAGATGCATATGCAATTCAACGTAAAGAAATTGCTATCTTGATTTGAAGGTACAGCATTTAGCAAATACTCTATGTTTATTCTTGCTTCATCAACTTTTTTTTTTTTTTGGTTTTTCGAGACAGGGTTTCTCTGTGTAGCTTTGCACCTTTTCTGGAACTCACTTGGTAGCCCAGGCTGGCCACGAACTCACAGAGATCCGTCTGCCTCTGCCTCCCGAGTGCTGGGATTAAAGGCTTGTGCCACCACCGCCCGGCACTTCATCAACTTTTAAAAAGTCTTTTTTCTTGTGTCTGTTCCTGATTCTCCCATTCTTTCTGAATATTGGAAGATAATGACCCCTCCCTTCAATAAAATAGATGGAGAAAAAGGTCTAACAAGTCCTTAAGCCAAGTTGGTCTCAAAAGCTAATAAAGGTGGATCCACCAGGGGGTAGCCAAACTGTGCAAAGATTCTTGGTCCTATTCTGTCTTGGGACATTCACAAAGACACATGGTATCTGGGAAATAAGTCATTTTTCTCACTGTATATGTAATTTTGAATCAACTACTGTCATTTAATCAATCACATGTTTCTTTTTAGCCTCTATTTTTCTCAAGAACATCAGTATTCCACACATGACAACACACAGTTTACCGCTATAACCCAGCATCCTCTTTCCGTTAATCATGGGGTTATTTTCTCAATGCCACAATCCACCACGACAGAACTTGCACTTCCCTCTTGTATTCTCATAATGACTCTACCTCTTGTCCCTAATAAACGGCAAGGTTTCACTAATGATCCCACCTCACAATGGGGGACTTCACATGTGTTTCAAGTAGCCCTATAAAACAAGAGAGGGGGTCTCCGGTGTTCCCACGTCCCCACCAGTAGCTGTCAGTCCAGACCATTCTCTGGGGAACACTGCTTTCTTTGACAAAACCCCTCAACTTTGAGGTTGCAATCTTTCCACAGAGGAACTGCCAGGTTAAGTGAACACAGACATCTTTCAGAGGTCCTGAAAGGCTCGCCTGTGCATGTCTCTATAATTGGCCTGAACCACCAGCCCCTGACTAGGTGTGATGTGGGCCCTCATCCCTTCCCCAAAGTGCCTTGCTTAATCACGGTAGTCTCTCTGTCTCTCCTAAAGGCTTGTTCATGTCTTAGTCCATTCATGGTCTACTTTTGTTTGTTGGCCCTGTAATGTTGCTTGAGAAGATCAGTGAGTTATGCAGACATTAATTTTCTATGGGGTGCCTTGAGCTCTCTGGTGGTAAGGAGAATTCTAAGATGGTTCTCTAAGAGCTTCTTCCATAATCCTGGAAACTATGAACATGATGAGATGTTACTCCTGTGCTTAGCTTAGGTCATGTGGCAGAGCTGGCCTTAAGAGAGAGCAGGCCTCAGGGTAGGCCTGCTCTAATCAAATGAACCTTTACAAGCAGGGAAGCTTTTTCCAGCTGGCAGCAAAACAGGAAATCAGAGACTAGAAGCGTGAAGAAGGTTCCAGAGCCTCTTGCTTCCTTCAAGATGGAGGGATACTCCTGTCTGAGAAGGTGAGTAGATCTGGGGAGCTGACTGATCCATGGCAACAACCAGTACCAAAGCTGTGATCTCAGTGCTACAGCCACAAGGAGCCTTGCTCACCTGCTTCGGGACTCAGTGGTGATGGGGGTAAGTTATCCTGGGGCTCTTGTCCATCAAACATTTGTTCACAAGAACTACTTCCTTCTGTAGAAAGGAATGAGACTCAACAGACTCAGATGGCCAAGGGAAATCACAGCAGGAAAGCCATCTGAGACAACCAGGAAGGTCCAGCTGGCTTGGTGTCTCCTAGAATGGATGTCTCTGTTTGGGGACTCTGAAGTGGAAGCTGACATGACTCCTCTTCTGTCACCAGAGGCAGAAGATTGGCCACCTATCTTTTCCCTCTCTGAGCATCTCATTCCCCTTTGTTTCTGACCCTTGTTTCTGCCTCTATGATTTCTTCTCTCTGAGACTGTAAAGAGATGGCTCACAGGTTAAGAGCACCGACTGCTCTTCCAGAGGTCCTGAGTCCAATTCCCAGCAACCACATGGTGGCTCACAACCATCTGTAATGAGATCTGGTGCCCTCTTCTGGCCTGCAGGCATACATGCAGGCAGAACATTGTACACATAATAAATAAATAAATAAATAAATAAATAAATAAATAAATAAATAAATAAATAAATAAATAAATGAACAGGCTGGGGGAGCACTTTCTCTCTCACAGATTCACTAGCTGACTGGCAAATGAAGGCTCACTCACCTCCTCCATTGCATTGTGAGAGGCTAGGCACCTCCTCTGCCTGCTCATCATTCATTTGGGAATTTCCAGGACTACAGGATGCTGAAAAGAAACAAGGATACAACAAACCATACAGAGTGACCTCAGTTTGCTCAGGCAGAACCAGGAAGTTTGGGAATATAAGAAAATAAGGAGTACAAGGCAGTAAAATGACAACATGGGCCGTGTAACACAAATAGTGGGAAGAGCAAGGCACTGTCTTTCCTCAGTAATTACTACTTTAACGTGAATAAAAAATCCACATATTCTACCCATAAGAATCAGGTTATTCCAAACAGGAGTCACAAGTATTTCTCAGTTTCCCACAAAAGGCAAAGGATCCTTGATGAACCAGGGAATCAAAGTAACTACGAAAGCTTTATACAAACTATTCTCTTGAAGAACAAGAGAGGCAGATAGGACGTTGGAAATTTTAGGGAGGAAAATGAACTCAATCCTATGACAGCAGGAAGTTGTTGAACTAAAGAGGAGAGTAAGGGATGCCAAGTGCATGTCTGAATGTCTTGTTTTATTGGAGAAAATGAGTTTGATGGAACAAGACTGAATGAGAAAAGGCATCCGAGACTAAGAGCTGTTTCTGTAGTCCTAAGGTAAAAACAAGAGATCTGTGTTGGGGGGCACTGGAAAGATGGCTCAGTGGTTAAGAGTGCCTGCTGCTCTTCCAGGAGACTCAGGTTTGATTCCCAGTGCCACATGGAAGCTCACAACTATCTGCCATTTCAGATCCAAGGGATTTGACACCTTCTGACCTCTTTGGACAACAATCAAGTATGTGGTATAGATAGATAGATAGATAGATAGATAGATAGATAGATAGATAGATAGATAGATAGATGATAGATAGATAGATAGATAGATAGATAGATAGATAGATAGA